TTTTGCACAACTCCTTCATGCTTCACTGGCAAATCATGTCCAAACACTTCGTTTGGGCAAACGACGATGAAGCTGACACTAAAAGATGGAATAAGTTTTGATTATTGCTTGCGGATGCTTTGTCTGTACATTTTGGTCTATCGAGATGGGAGAAAAATGATGGAGGACGGACAGATCCACACGGTTTCGATGACAACCAGATAGATCAACTAAGCTAGAGCTGTGGTCTTCCTGGGCTCCCTGGAATGTTGCTAGCCCAGGCATCGGCGGCCAAGGTTGCCAGGGCAATTGTGGAAAGGAAAAACTCTTTGTCGGCTCCAAGTTCTACTTGTTGCGATGCGATAGTCTTATGGAAATCGTTTATTCTTTCCATTCATTCAGTTACCACCCGCACGATCTTCTCCAGACATCTCCTCTCCTCGACTTGAATCTGCCGAACTAACCTCGACTTTGATGGCTCCCGAAAGCAGACAATTGCCAAGGCGCCAGTTGGCAGTAGCAACGACAAACAGCCCGACAACGGACCGGCAGAATGGATTGACAATCACTCGGGTTGCCCAAGCAAAAGTAGCGAGAAAAGGAGAACTACCGTTTTGAGTGATTTGAGGCAGCTCTCGGTCTGAAAGTGTTCGTCTCGCGAGTGGAAGTTTCTGATGACGACGACGGAAACCGATCGCTGGAACATTCTTGAAGACTCCGTCGCTGAGGCAGTCTCTTCTTTGGTTGCCATGAGAGCGTGCCAGGTTTCCGTTTCTCGCATCAGTCGCAAGACATCCTCAGAGCAGGGCGACATTCTTGCAAGCCAAGAAAGCTAACCGCTTATAACAAAAGTTTGTTTGTGCATTTTGTAGGGCTGTAAAGTAATTGCATTAGTTAAAGTCATAATTTAGTCTATAAACTTGTGCGCATGTACACAAGTGTGCTTTAAAGTGTGTGTGTGTGTGTGTGGGTGTGTGTACGTGTATGTGTTTGTTTGTTTTCGTGAATTTGTGTGAGACCAATAGTGAGACTATTCAAACGAGGCACGGATTTGGGAGCGATTGAACCGGCGCAGGAGGGAAATAAGGTGTGTGTGTGTGTGTGTCTGTGCATGGTTGTGTGTTGCAGAAAGGGATAAGTGATGCGTGAAAAGCGGTGAGGACAACTTGCATGTATGTCACTAAAAGTCTCTACTGATTTGCTTGAATAAGGTTGTAAAATGATGATGCCTTTCAAATGCTACGAGACGTGAAAACTTGTCACGTTGTCATGGCAACCGAAGGAGATTGCCTCGACGTTATGGTCAGCAAGAATGCTGTAGCGAGCTGAATCCGCCGTCGTTTTGTGGTAGGATGCCTTTTCGCGTCTCTTCATCACTTTGGCAACAACTATGCTGAAACCGCGAAAAGGGGCCAGCATTAGTAAAGCAAGAAACTCTTCGCGACCCAAATTTTCTTTCTCCTATTTTACGGTTATGGTGGGATTGTTGATTTGGTAAACTAGTATTTTGTCATTTCAACCGACCACTCTACTTATATTCATAGTAAGTAGGCTTCAACACTGCCGATACGTCTTGAATAATACTTGGTTAGTTCACGATGCATCACCGAAAGCCGAGTTCGAGTCCCGCGGTACGTGCTGATGCGAACAG